TATTGTTTCCTTATAGACTTATAGGTTGAGACAAGAACTTACCCGGTTTGTAACCTAATACTACAATCTATCCCACAACTTCCTGTGCCCTGGATGTTCTGTCTTTAGCTTAACTCACCAGTGACAGGGAACTTACTACCTCCTGGGTAGCCCATGCAATGTTTTTACTGCTTCTGAGCATTAGAAATCTTGCTGAGCTCTAGGATGCAGAGAAATGAGTGGGTGGTGAGCAAGTCTGGGAGAGGGGCTAGGGAGATGTGCAGGATGATGGTGGGAGGGTGCTGGGGAGCTGAGAGCCCCGGAAATGATGCCTCCAGTTGCTGGGCCAGGGAGCACTTCCTGATGTGGCTCTCTGCAGGCTGCTAGCAGCCCTTCACAGACAGGCTGGCACTGATGGCACCTGCTCTGCTCATGGCTTCTGAGCCCGACAGCCTATCCAGAAGACATCCAGCCTGGCTGGCTCCTGCCCGGGGCTGCTCAGAGGCCGGACCGCAGGGCCCTGGGTTCTCAAGCCTGGATGTATGATTTATGACTGATGAGCTCACCAGCTAGGGTGGGGGCAATCTGAGGGGAGACGGGAGGGAGGCTGCTTATGGATTTTAACCCTCTGATGTTACTGGCTGGGAATTTAACATCAATAATTCAAGGCAGTGGGGAGGATGGGACAAGAACAAGGCAAAAGAGAGAGGGAGGTGATGAAGGAAGGGAGAGAAGGCATGGAGGAGGGGAGCAGAAAGGAAAGGAGGCAAAGATGCATTTATTAAGTGTTTCCCACAGGTACTATACCTCCTTTCGCTTGATTAAGCCTCTCTGGAATCTGTGGGGCAGATCCTGTTATCCCCAATGAAGTAGGTGAACACACTCAAGCTCTAAGAGGAAAATCGAAGCTTTTGGTTGGTGGGGATTTGAAGCTAGGCCCGCTGACTCCAGAGCCCAGTTCTTCCTACTACACCCTGGCTCTGGAGGGTGGCTCTGTCCTCGCCAGCCTCAGGACATGCAGCCCTAGCTCACATTCTGGGTCTGACTGTGGTGAAAGAAGCACAGAGCCCGCCAGAGAGAAACCAGCCATTGGCCTTCTGGACAGCACCAGAACTTTGTTGCTCAAGCCGAAAAAAATTAACTGCTATATTTAAAAAGCATTGTTCGGTTGCCATAGTAACAGAGGGGCTAAGAATAATATAAAAAGATGATTTGCCAGGTTGTCACTGGCAACCCAATTTTAAGGGTGTGTGTGTGTGTGTGTGTGTGTGTGTGTGTGTGTGTGTGTGTGTTAAAAGGAGTTGGGTGGGGGAGGTGGCCAGGTTCAGACCATCTTCTCTGCTCTCCCTGGCATCGTCTGCCCAGGTCACATGTCCAAAAGGTGGCAAGACGTCTGGCATCTTCCCCATCTGGCTGACTTGGGGAAGAGCTGGCACAAGCTGGCCTTGACCCTGACGGTAAAGGTGGCTCTCAGTTCCCTAATTGCTGTTTCCTCCCAGCAGCCCCTCACAGCCTGGGCTGCTTCCCTCTGCTGTGGAAGCCCAGCCAGAGGCACCTCGCAAACAGATGGCTCCTGCAGAGCTTCTTCTCTCCGACCTGGGAGCTCTCAGCCTGCCTGGCAGACTCCCCAGGGACCACCAGGGAAAACAGATGGCCACGAGAGGAGAGCGGGAGATGGATGTATCGATCTGCAGCGTGGATGTCAGGGATGGGAGGTGGCTTGGCAGACCTAGGCATGGGCAGCCTGCTCCCTAAAGGTCCTGCAGAGAAGCACATGTGAGGTCCGGCCTGGATCTGCAGCCTGGGCAGGTGACCTGGAGGGGATCCACAGCAGGCCTGGGGAGGATGGGAAGGCATGCAGGCAGCTGTGGTCCTCACACACCAGCTCGCTGCTCCCTGGGGCTGATGGCAGCACCCATGGGAAGCACAGGGCATACAAAGAGATAAACAAAACACCCAAGACAGCTTACTGACAGCTGAGCTTTAGAAAGAGGTCTGCTATTTTTGCCTCTGTCATAGTCAAGTAATTTGAAGGAAAGCTTTGGAATCAGTCAGACCAGGGTCCCCACGCCAGCTTTATCACTCACTTCCACGTGAGTTTTAGCAAACCCCTTAGCAGCTCTGGGCCTTTGCTGTACCATAGGGGAACTGACACTCTTGGGATCGTGCCTGGACCTCAAAATAAATAGGTTTATGAGGTCCAGGTCTGGTGCATCGAATATCCCGCCAGTGCTCAGCATATCCACGGAGAGGAATCTGTACTGCAACTCGTGTCGATGTGACATCCAAATTGAAAGCCACAGGGATCCTTGCACAAATAAGCAAGGAATGACATACAGATGCCACTACATGGGGACAGACAGCGAGGGCCAGTCATGCCTGTAGGGCTCAAGGAATCCTGCAGGCAGCAAGCACGGATGATGGTGCAGTTTTAAGAGAAGGAGGAGAGAGGAGGGAAATGTAGTCCAGCAGAGGTAGTGGCCCGAGCAAAAGGCAAGGAGATGGGAGCAGATCACAGCCACACCAGGCTGGATCCTGGGGGGAGAGGCGTGCACCGGAGAAGGGAGCAGTCACATTCATGTGATGCTTAGTGGGGAGAGTGGATGTGCAGGATGAGCCAGAGACAGGAGGCCCCTAGGGAAGCTGGTGCAAGAGCCCAGGCCAGAGATAAAGGTCCCCCAGCTAAGGCAGGACAGTGCTCCACAGTTTACTAGACACATCCATATCCATGACTTCACTTTGTCACCCTAGGATAGATAGAGGGACATCCTGTTTAAGCTCTCTGGGACCTCTGCCCACCAAGGCTCCCCACATACTGGGGTGCCTGCCGTGCACACGCGGCATTGTAGCCACACACTGATGCCCACGCATTCCCAAGAAGTGGGGAGAGTCCAGGAAAGCCAGAAGGGCACAGATCAGGGAGTGGTCTCAAGGGTGGGTGTGGTCACTGAGGGATTCCTGGAGGGGACCCTAAGGCAGGCTTCTGAGCAGATAGCAGGGCACAAGGGAAACCGTGCCTGGACCTGCTGGGAAGAAGGAGGGAAAGGGGTGTGGTGGGCCCATAAACGTCAGGCTGAGGGGCTTCCTCCTCCTGTGGGTAGCCGTGTGGAGCGTTAGGCCCATTGAGCAGGATGGGAGATGTGAGGACAGCGGCTTTGGGAAGCCAGGCTGGATCACACAGACAACACGTGTGTCTCTTCCCTCTCCATCGCAGGCAGAATCATCCTTGCCTAGCTGAGGGTCAGCAACACACCCTGGGCCTCAAGCAGCCCGCCATGGAAAACAGGTGCATTTACTCAGCAGCAGGTCTCATTTAAACAGAACACGGCCCTACTACCACCTTTAGGAAGCACAAGATACCACCCTGTGTTGTGTTCCTAGGTCCCCGCCGTCCTGGGCTGGGTTTCCCACGGTGGAGGCACCCAGGGTGGTGTCCTGCGGAGTATTCTGGGCCTCAGGGGAGTTCAGACTGAGTCGGCAGCGAGCTGCCCCAGCCAGCTTAGCACCTGGAGACCAGAACTTAGGCAGGGGCGGCCCCATGAAGTTTGGGCTTTGCTGTCTTCTCCGCTTCCTTCCTTCTTCAACCAGTGTTGGTTGAGTACCTCCTAGGGGTTAGACATCGAATCAGACAGACAACACCTCTGCCCTCTTGGGACTTAAATTCTAGCTGAGGAAATGAAATGCATCAGGTAGTAGACCTGGGAAAGAAAACAGAAACTGAGGAAGGGAAGAGAAAGCAGCAGAGGAGGTGAGAGAAAAGGATTCTCTATCTGGGGGGAGGCTTCTGGGGCAGCATTTGAGGTCAGGCCTGGAGAAAGTGAGGAACTGTGGTAAGAGTATTTCAGGCAGAAGGAATGGCCAGTGTAAAGGCCCTGAGGCAGGAATGGGCTTGGTGTGTTTCTCAAACTCTGTCTAGTGTTCTTGGGGAACAAGACAGCAGCACTGAAGACTCTTTGAAGAACGAGAAACTGAGGCCTTGCACCCTGAACGTCCCCTACATGGCAGCCAGGGGCAGGGGCAGGACCACCCACACAGGAGTCCAGAGGCGAGGGAGGAGTATAGGCTTCGGGTAGAGACAGGTGTAGTCTGGGGGCCCATGCTGGCTGGCTGTATCCCTTGCTTGCTAGGTTGTAGGATCTTTCTGAACCTCAGTTATTTCATCCATAAAATGGGGCTGATATTGCATCTATCCCAAGTGGTGGTTGTGATTTAAGATCACATCTGTAAAGGGGATGGCAAATGTGACAAATGCTTGCTGCACTTGTAATTATCAGCAGGACTTCAAGGATGCTGGTAAGTAACAGAGATGGGACCCGCTAGGATCTGAACAACTGGCAGCCCCAGCTACAGAGCAGGCTGAGCATTCTGTGAGGGTCATGCAGGAATGCCACTCTCACCTGGTGACTCTGACATCACACACACACACACACACACACACACTGCATGCACATGCTGCAATTACAGCTCTCAGATCTTGACCCAGCCAGGGAAGTGAGAGCCGACACTGAAGGAAAGCAGCAGTCATGTGTCTGTTGTAAACTGCACCCCTGTGGCTGGGCTGAAACTGGCCTGGATGGACTGGGTGGACCAGGAGGCTGGGAAAGCAGAGCCAAGCCAGGCAGGAGTGAAACCCACATGCTTGCAACGGCAGGAGACCGAGGCCAGCAGCTGGGACTGAGCTCAGAGTACATTTCTGTGGCCACAGACAAGGGAGGCACAAAGGGTGACCACACGCCAGGGGACCTCCTGGAGGAGAAGTTGTGAAGGATGGGGAGGATTTGACCAAGCAGAGTTTATTGCTCAGTAAAAGAACAGCATTATAGGGGAAAAAAAAAAAAGCCCAGTGGGAAAGCATGGAGGTGACCTTTTAGGGTGTGGGAACTCCAGGTGGCTCTCTGCTGGTGAAGCCTTCTCTGATGTAGGAAGACAGGGTGGGGGTGAAGCTCAGAAGCTCTTTCGCATCCATGTTTCGGCAGCACCTTGAACCAACAGTCATTACTGCATTCACAGGAATAACTCACCTGTCTATAAAAAGCTGAGGCACCTAAGCGCGTCATTTTTTCTTCCTGTGGCTCAGTTTTTCCATCTCACGATGGGCGTGTCCCTGACACGGGACAGGGGCTGCCTGAAAGTAGATGTTTCTGACCAGTGTTAGCTGCCAACTGTGTCTCCCTACTCCGGGTGTCCTTATCTTTGCCTGGAGGGCTTAGGCTCACTGGAAAGCCTTGTGGTTCTTGGGATGTTTGTCTTGGGGCCCAAACTGTAATGACAGAGAGGGCTGACAGGGTGACTGGGCTCCGGAGACAGACACACAGGCCCTCCCTCAGCATCACCTCAGTCCCACAGCAGCCCCAGTAGGGTGCACAACTTGTGTCAGCACCAACATGACGTGGTGGGGCAGACATCAAGAGACTTGGAGGCTTGCCTGAGTCCTGCACTCGTTCAAGTGGCAGAGCCAGTGTTTGAACCTCAGACCGCTCACTTCAGATCCCCACGTCCTCTCCCTGCAGTCCAGGCAGTCTCTGGCCCTAAATTGCACAGGCCAAGAAGAAAGCTGAGATGGAAATGGTTTATCTCTAGTCATACAAGGACTCGAGCTTTGGAAGGTGGCCAAGGCACAGACACAGCGGCCAGCTTCCTCCATGCACACTGGCTCTAGTTCTAGCCCAGTGGCCTTTCCAAGCCAGTTGGGCCTTCCTGCACCGCCTGTGTCCACCCTCAGCCCTCCTGCCAGACCTCCAACTATGACACTATGACCCAGGTACTGAAAGTCCTCAGAGCAGCCAGAGATTCTCTGAGCCCTCACCAAGCAGGCCCTGGGGCCTTGATTAATGAAGGCAAAGGACTGTCCTTTTTCCCCATTGAATCATCCCATGAACAGAATGGTCCAGTCATGCCAGGAACAGCTCTGTATCTTTCTAAAGAGACCTGACTCACCCTGTCCCAGAAGTGACCAGCCACGCTGGCATTTCACCTTCCCAGTCCCTGTGTGAGCAGTCAGGGAGCCACAGGTGCAACCCGAGCTGGGTGCTGATGGCAAGGTCATGGGTGGAGAAATTGACATCCCGTGCACTGCCAGTGAAAATGTAAAATGGCACAGCCACTGTGGAAAAGAGTATGGAGACTCCTTCGAAACATAAAAATAGAATTACTGAATGATCTAGCGATCCTACTTCTGGGTGTTTATCCAAAAGAATTAAAAACAGGATCTCAAAGAGATGTCTGCACTCCTATGTTCAGTGCAGCACTGTTCACAATAGCCAAGATGTGGAGACAACCCAGATGCCCATCGACAGATGAATTGACACAAAAAAAGCAATGTGTGTGTGTGTATGTGTGTGTACTCAAATACTATTCAGCCTTTAAAAAGAAAGGAAACCCTGCAATATGTGACAGCATAGATGAGCTTGGAGGACATTTGCTAAGTGAAACGAGCCAATCACAGAAGGACAGATCCCTGCCTGCCTCTACGTGCGTGAGGAGTCTAAGTCAAACTCAGAGAAGCAGAGGGTGGGATGGTGGCTGTCAGGAGCAGCAGGAGGGGAAATGAGGAGTTGCTATTCGACAAGCCTAAATTTTCCAGAAAGCAAGTCGAATAAGTTCTAGAAACCTGTACAACACTGTGCCTACAATTAACAGTGCTGCACTGTACATTTCAAAATTTGTTTAAAGGACAGCTCTCAGGTTAAATGCTCTTAACTATGATTTTAACAAACTCATAATGTAGAACAAGAGATGCAGGGTAGGTGCACCCATTAATTATTCGGGCCAGTGGCAAACGTTTATATAATCTGCATCCTGTGCCATGCCAGACCCTGAGTTTTACCTGCATTAATTCACTGATCGTATCATGAAGGAAGTACTGTTATCACCTCTACAAACTAGGGGAGGAAACTGAGGCTCGAGGAGGCTGAGTAGCTTACCCATGAGCATTCTGCTGCTCACAGGAACAGAGTAGAAATGGAGCCCAAGCAGGCAGCTCCAGAGTCTGTGCTCTTAACATGACGTTTGCTGCTTCTTGGGACGCAGAACGTTATTCCCTAAGTAAGATGTCCATCGGGCAGCAAAGAGAACATGGTGGCCCTCATTCTAGGGTGGGTGCTGGGATATTTTCCTAAGAGAGGGATCCTTGCATGGGGACTCTAAAGACAAAGAAACTCCATCCTCTCTGGATCCTAGTGAAGCTAGCAGCAGAAGTGCTATAGGATGAGCTGAGAGACCTCCGCCCAGGGGACCCACTCTCCACCCTGACCCACTGGCTCCACTTCCTCCCTCCTGCGAGCTCCAGGGGCTCTGGGTGGGGCTCTCCTTTCCAGCCTTTCCCTAGCTGTGGCTTTCCCTGCTCGCCTCCCTTCGGGAAGCACCCTTGTCCCATGTCCCTTCACCTCTCTGAACTTTCCAGAGGCCAGACCTAGCAGGAGCCTGAGATGAAACTGGTGCTTGTGAACTATTTATTGAATTGACATGAATTTTCTCTAGATGCCAGAGCTGGCCCTGACCTGACTGTAAAATCAGCAAAATAAACTTGACCTAATCTGTCTCCTTCCTGTCCTCTCTCCCTCCACTTCAACAGGTATTCAGTAATCACTGTACACAGCAACAGGAGACAGCAAGGCAGTCTCCTGTACTCCAAGTATTCAAGCCAGGTGGGGAGACAGACAGAAAGAAGCCATTGCAGTGTGACAGATACCTGGGGTAAGTCCAAGTAGCATGGGAACATGTTAGATGGACAGGCTTATGTGTGGGAGTCCTTTTCCCTGAAAGTGGCTTCTGAAATAGACCTGTTTTGTGTGGGAATGGGGGTGGGGAGGCAGAGAATAGAGACTTGTACATGAGCTAGGAGAAGGGTGGTTGAACAGAGCTTTCAAGGCAGAAGGAACCACGTTTGCAAGGCCCAGGGTTCAGGAACTGCATTGTGCTGGGGAGTGGGCTCTACACCTTGGTGTGCAGGTAGATGGAAATCCTAGCAAGTCACTGTGAAAGAACCCAGAATTTTATAACCCTAGAGGCGACAGGGAGGCTCTAGAATGGGGAGCCATGCAGGACGTGTTGCGATCAGATTTGTGTTGCAGGAGGATCCCCTTGGTTCACCACGGGGATCAGATCGGAAGGGTCACAGTGGGGGCAGTCAGAATCGGCTGTAGAAATCCAGGTCAGACACAGCCACCCACAGTGGGAGTGGAAGGAAGGGACTCTTGATGGACCTTGAGCTCACAGGGCCCGATGACCTTGCACTGGGGTGGCAGGGGCCGGCAGAGGTACAGATCAGAGATGAGGCCTCTGTTTGGAGCATGCCATCCCTTCCAGGGAACCCCTCTCTCTTCTGCCACACCCCCATCTTCATTCCATTGCCATAACTGGAAGCCGTGGAATTCTTGCGGGAACTCCATGAAATATTAAACTTCTGGCTCCATCACAGGAACTGGGAACAATTTCACTAGGAAAACGTACCAGCACCATAGAATAATAACCACACACACACAGTATAAAAATATACCACAAAACCACACAGGATCGCCTGATTCTGATATGTCTCATTAATATCTGTTTGCTGCTTGTCCATTTCATTTCATTGCCTGTGAGCACTCGTTAGCAGCCAAGCAGTAGCAGGTGCCAAGAGTTTAAGAAGAGCCAATGGGAGGAAAATATCAAATTGAGATAATTATAAGTAATAATCTTGTTCTTTGCTGCCAAATGGAAAGAGATAAATATGAATTTAGTTTAGCAGGGAAACCTCTCCAGAGGACTTTCAGAACCCAGGGCTAGGGTGAAGGTTAGGGTTAGCTGTCTCGCAGGTTTCTACGGTCAGGGCTGGAAGGCAATCTGATTAACTAGATCAGGCTAAAGAATGAATGAGCAATAGAGTAGCCAGGTCTCCCCTGTAGGTACTAAGCTGCTTGGCTTCAGGCAGGGAGAGTAAGCAGGTTTCCCAACTTCCTTCAAATGTCATCTCCTGCCTGTGCAGCCAGAAGCACCGTGTGAGCTAAACTTAGCCTTTAGTTTCTCCCGGGAGCAAAGCAGCCTCAGGGGCAGCCTAACTAGGAATCATCTCTCCAGGTCTTCAGGGGTAGCACAAAGTAATGTCCTGACCATGGCTCCAACATGTCCTTCCACCACCACCCACGATCACCTTCCAAAGCACACGAAATAAACAAACATAAAATCTAAGTGACAGTATGTTTCGCAAATACAGCTGCAAGAAAAGTCATCTACCAGCTGGCATACCTGGGGAATGCTGCCTATGATCCTCCTCTGAGAACAGCAGGTAAGGGTACCTCCTAGGAGAAGGAGAGGAGGGGGCTACACTGCATGGGCTGCCTAGGACTGAACAAGCAGTTGGATGTTTTACTACTCACTACTGCTGCCAACTGAAGTGAGAAGAAGTATTCACCATCGTATCCACTCTGCTGCTGAGGTGACAGGCAGCCAGAGAATGGACTTGCCCCAGATCACACACTGAACATCTGGCCACACTTACCCACTGTGGCCCTTTGAAACATATGATGGAGACTGGAGGTTTTCTGATGTCACAGTCTGGGAGCAGGCAATGGGCAAGGAAGGCAGATCCAGGGTGAGCCATGATGCATTAGGCACCTGCTGCCAGATGAAGGATGAAGGGTCTGAGTTGCAGCCTCAGCTCAAGCCAGCTTTCACATCTGGCCTGTACTGATGCTAGATCCTGCTGGATCTTTTCTGAAGCCATGAGCTCCAGCCCAGATAGGCAACTCTGTTCCTTTGCCAGATGGCTCCCTGGTCTGGCTCAGGCAGGGGAGGGAATCAGGCTGGGGCTCAGTAGAAGCCTATCAATGACTCCAAGAGGAAACTGAGGTTGAGACTGGTCATGTGACTTGCCCAAAGACACGCAGCAAGTGAATACAAATGCAGAACTGAAACCCAGGACTCAACAATTTTGACCGTCTTTGTATGAAACAGCCAACCCTAAGCAGGATGAGCACATACAAAAGCACCTGGCCAGCTCTAACTAGGATCGCCAGACCAAAGAGTCTTCAGGACAGGCAGAAACACAGCCTGTCTTCACACCCCAGCTACAATCCTCCTCCAGTTACAGAGACAGGGATGATGGTTCTTCTCAAGGGAAAGGTGTCAGGAGGTGGGAGAGCCGGGATGTCCCTTCCTCCTGAACTTCCTTATGGCCCTGAGGGATAGTCAGCTTTCACAGGCAAGTGAGGACCTGCCCAATGCAGCACCGAAGGGATGGTGAAGAATCTTCCAAAGCCCTGTGCTGTCTGCTGCTGACAGTGCCTGCTCCTTCCAAGAAAGACAGGCAGCCGGCTGGATGGAAAAGCCCCTCTAGAACCCACATGGGAAGCAAGGGGGCAGTCCCAGTGTCCTCCCCAAGGACACAGGAGCACTA